GTTCGCTCCGCCTCAGAAACATATTGTTTTTTACTTTTAAATGGATGACAAAAAATATATTATTAAATATACAGTTAAACGTTACCGTCGTGGTTGATGGTTGCTGGCCCCGGTAGATCGTAGAGGAGGAGGAGGAGGAGGAGGAGGAGGAGGAGGAGGAGGAGGAGGAGGAGGAGGAAGAGGAGGAGGAAGATTACTCCATCGAGAAGAAACTCCTTCCCTAATAGCATAGGGATACTGTGTGGGCATTTATTGCACCCCCCCCCCCCTTTTCCCCCTCACTTTATTCTAACAGTAGTCAATTTTACCTCACTAGGACGAGGATCACCCGTGGAGAGGTCCCAGAAACCGCGTTCAACCATTAGGCCTTATTTATGTCTGGGCTATATTGCATCCCCGGGCAAAATAACAAAAAATTGCATCTCACAAGAGGTTTCTACATGTATGAACACCGGAGACCTTTGCTTCGTTAACATAGTCACTCCTTTAACTGGCACCAAATGAATTCGAACTCTTTGCTTGCTGCTGAAGATGGGAATGCAGTGTCCGGAGTGCAATGATGTCTATTTCAAATCATATATTCAACATGAGTCATTCCTTTGGCCAGATCAACCTTTCTTTAATGCAACTTTGTTCCTTCAGATAGTACACATCATAGGTTTAGTCATATGGTACTGCTTGGTGAGAACACCATGGTCATGTTTAGTTATTGCCCTTTGTTTCCACTGTAAAAAGTTAGGCTTCTTTACACCAGTCACGAGGAGCGACTGGCAGAACGGTGAGAACGCTGGGTTGTCAAGCAGGAGACCCAGGTTCTAATCCTTGGTGAGGCTGGGGATCTTTTCTGTTGGAGGCAAAATAAAATCTCCACCTGCACAGTCGTGGCGACAGCACAAGCCATGCGGCCGTAAATCACCAGGCTCAAAGACCCTACACAGCAAAAGTGGTAAAATAAAAGCAGTAAGTAATTGGCAGTTGAAACTAGTCAGGACACTTTTCACGTTCTTGGTATCCACATGGTTAATTTAATTGCAAAAAGCAACAAACACACACACACACACACACACACACACACACACACACACCTTCTCAGGGGGCCGCGTTAGCACAGTCGATAGGAGGCTCGCCTTGAAATCCAGCTGCGATCCAGCCGGTGTTCGAAAGCGGGCGGTTCGCGGGGTTCACCCAGCCTCTAGGAAATAGGTACCCCAGATTTACTCTGGGGTAAATAGAGGAACGTCGCTGTAGCTACAGAGTTACGTGTGGACGGCGACACAGAAGAAGCGGAAGAAGGAAAGGGACCACTTTGATGCCGAACACACCCCCACCCGAGCACCAATTGGTCAATAAAAATATGAGTCAACCACCCAATGCACCACTATCGTAAAATGTGTCCGTTACTTTTGTATTACGACCCAGCCTTGAGTGGGTACCAGGTGCAGTCCCTGAAGGCAAAGGCGGCCGGCCTGATGCTGACCATATCACTCATCTTGTGTCGACTGGTCTGTAAAAATATAGGTCCAGCCCTAGTAAAGTCAAGAGATGTGAACCAGCGTCATTGCACACGGTTATAAACCATAAGTGCTCTGCCACCAGTACGGACAGCTGATAAGAATTGTCCGCCTGTGTCGCCGTTGGCACGTTACTCTGTAGCTACAGCGACGTTCCTCCATTTAACCCATAGAGTCAGCTCTGGTACCCATTTCTTAGAGGCTGTGTGAACCCCGGGAGCCGCCCGGTTTCGAACACCGTGGGCGGCAGCGAGTCACAGCTGGATTTGAAAGCGAGCCTCTTATCGACTGTGCTAACGCGGCCCTATATGTCCTATACGACCAAAGGCGTGCAAAAGGGACCTTTACTTTACTTACTTTTATATTACGTTAACTTCATATATTTCCCAAAACGTTCATATTCGATGTCATGATTTAGCTTCCTCTTGCCTTTCCTCTGAAGGAGTGGCACAAATCTGGGAATGAGTTACATCCTGAAGAAGGCCACGAACCAACCAGAGCTGGAGGCCATGTTGAGTGTCTAACCTACAAGTGCCCAAGTGCCGGGTCATGCCTGCACTTCACAACACATACAGCAGTAATCATGACTCAACACAGCCAAGCTGGCAAGGAGTCGTTCTAGTTGTAAGGACACTTACTCATCACCGGACTCATTCGTTTTTGTGTGGACACGTCTGTAATTATTTCGACGAATTATTCTTGGATTAAAATAAAGGTTTCGTGACTGTGCTTGGTACATAGATAATAGCATTGTTGTACATGGGAGATTGTCATAGTAAATTTGACAGCTGAAAAAGTGAGTAAGTTTTTTTTCTTGAGCCTAGGGCGGCGCATAGGGCAGAGGTCATAGCTCTCCATGCCTGGCAGTTGGTTGCCACCTGATTTATGTCTTGGATGTCACTGGGCTTATGGCTACTTGTTAATCCACATAGAACTGGTACTATTAGCCATCGGACGTTGGGGTTCATACTGACGGGAGGATCTGAGCACCCACGGTCTTGTCCGGAGTGCAATAATGATAACCCAAGTAACTAACTAACTAACTAACTAACTAACTAACTAACTAACTAACTAACTAACTAACTAGCTAGCTAACTAACTAACTAACTAACTAACTAACTAACTAACTAACTAACTAACTAACTAACTAACTAACTAACTAACTAACTAACTAACTTACTAACTATCTAGCTAGCTAACTAACTAACTAACTAACTAACTAACTAACTAACTAACTAACTAACTAACTAACTAACTAACTAACTAACTAACTAACTAACTAACTAACTAACTAACTAACTAACTAACTAACTAACTAACAAACTAACTAACTAACTAACTAACTAACTAACTAACTAACTAACTAACTAACTAACTAACTAACTAACTAACTAGCTAACTAGCTAACTAGCTAACTAGCTAACTAACTAACTAACTAACTAACTAACTAACTAACTAACTAACAAATTAACAAACTAACTAACTAACTAACTAACTAACTAACTAACTAACTAACTAACTAACTAACTAACTAACTAACTAACTAACTAACTAACTAACTAACTAACTAACTAACTAACTAACTAACTAAGCAACTAACTAACTAACTAGCAAGCTAGCTAACTAACTAACTAACTAGCTAACAAACTAGCTAACTAACTAGGCTTATGGCTGAGCCGGGGCCGGTTGTACCTTCTCTGAAGATGTTTCTACAGCCAGGATTCTACACAGAGCCTCTCTTGGTCTTTCCCGTTTTCTTTTCACTTCCGGTGTCTATATGCGGGCTTGATGGGGAAGTCTGGTCTTATCAATTCCGAGTGCATGGCCGATGTAGTTCCAACGGCGCTTTCTTATAAAATTGTATACGTTGTATTGCGTTGTCTCTTGTGTTATTTGCATATTGGATCTGAAATCCTTCCGGTGGATATATAGTATTCTTCTAAGACATCGGCTTTCGAAATCTTCAAAACGTGAATAATAAACGGTAATTAAATTGATATTAATTCTATGGGATACTATTAAAATTATGTGGGATTGTAAATATGCGAGCGCTGTGTGGTAGTGATATATCTGTACAGTTTATATGACAGTTATAAATATGTGAATAATATGTGATAATTTTAAATATTTGAATATTATGTGATAATTATAAATATTTGAATAATATGCGAAGGGGGTTCTGTGGGTCGCGGGCAGTGGTGATTTATTAGATAGATTTTACACGCCAGTTCAATTGAAAACCAAATCAAGAAACCAATTAAAGGTTGAGAGTGGCAGAGTCTGGCATTAACGAAAACTTGGCTTCAAATTTGTAAACTTGTTAATGAGTTACATTTTCAGTCATCGCATTAAATATGTCGTGTTAACTTTATTCTGAAATTATACAGGGAGTGGTCTTGGGGGGACTGGTGGGGGGGGGGGGGGTGGGTGTTATGTTTTCGATGTATTTACCATTTTTAAAAGGCTATCTGTAAAATGGGGTCACGACTCGACAAAGGCTGGAACTGCTGGTCTAGATCAATAGTAAAAAGAAATCTGCGATTTCGAACCCAAGATCTTCGGGCCGGTAGGTAAGCATCTAGTTAATTAAAGTGAAGAACCCTTTCCCCTTTTTTAGGTGTGTTGGAGCATAAAGTGATATGCCTATATTTTATTGATTAAACAGCACTCGATGGGGTAAATGGTCAACATCACATCCGCTGCCTTTACTTCCCATGCCTTTACCTGGTAACCGTTTAAGGCTGGGTCGACTTGGGTGTCAAAGTTATTTTTTAAAGTTAAAAAAAAAAAGTCAGGCTCCGGTCGGACTCGAACTCTCGACCTTCGAATCCGCAGAAAGGCATCTAGTCGTACATCTCGACAGCTCTCCCAAGCAACTAGTTAAAGTATTTAAAAAAAAAAACGTTAGATAACGAAGACAAGGTGGATTGGGTGATCAAAATATGAAAACACAAGCGTGTTCTTAACTAAATAAAAAACAAAAATTTGACGGATGTCACCACTTAACGACACATTGTTTCTTCTTTTTTTTCTAAGTGTGGTTGTCCATGGGGGATTGACTTGAAGAGGACAGCTTTAAAAAAAAAACATGTATAAACACCAACATCAGACGTAGAAACAAATTACTAACAACTCAAAATTCACGACAGACACTTATGATAAAATTTAAAGTGGTGATGCACGCATTACCAACTTTAAAATCGTGAAAAAATTAATTTATTCTGAAGTCTGGAAAGAGATAAATGATCAACACTAAAAGTGCGAAAGACAGTTACACTACACCATATATTCCGAAAAGAAATCATTATGAAGTCGGGAAGGAAAATCATTTTCAAAAATACATCGTTAAAATCAACCATAATGAACGTTCGAGTCGTGACGGACAATCAAACTCTTCCATCCATGTACGGATGAAGACAACTACAATCAACACCAGAGTCGCGACAATCATAATCAATTCTGAACTCTCGAAGGTTCACACCATCAACAATGACTACCCAACAAGAAACATCTGTGGAAGATACATCAACTTTCCTGACAACAGTTAGCAGATCGCAAACCAGTCTTGGGACAACCGAATCCGAAGTCGCAACTATCTTCAGACGAAATTTAACAGAAATGACACCCACGTTGGCTTTATCAACAACCACGCCACATCAAACATCAGGTTTAGTGTTAACTCTTTTCAATTCAACTTTACAACCAGACCAAACAACGATCAATAATTCCAGCCTGCTAAACATTTCCGACCAAGACAAGAGTCAATATTTAGCATACCTCCAGGAACAAACTACGAAAGGTATGATTCCCGCCATGGTGTACCTGATCATTCTGGCAGTTGTTGGATTTGTGGGGAACTGTCTGGTGTTGTTCGTGTACTCCCAGAAGTTCAAGCAGACGTCCACTAGGGTGTTCATTATGGCTATCGCCTGCTTTGATATCATCACCAATGTTATTGCTATTCCAGGTAAGTTACGCATGAATGAGAATAGTCTTTGATCTTCTTTAACTTGTTTTTTTTTTTTTAAAGTGTTTTTCTTCCAGGATTACAACATAAAAAAATGACATCCTCTGTCTTAAACTTATTCCATCCCCTGTCTTTAACTCATTCCATCCCCTGTCTTAAACTCATTCCATCCCCTGCCTTAACTCATTCCATCCCCTGTTTTAACTCATTCAAACCCCAGTCTTAACTCACTCCATCCCTTGTCTTAAACTAATTCCATCCCCTGTCTCAAACTTATTCCATCCCCTGTCTTAACTCATTCCATCCCCTGTCTTGAAATTATTCCATCCCCTGTCTTAATTTATTCCATCCCCTGTCTTAACTTATTCCATCCCCATTCTTTACTTATTCCATCCCCTGTCTTAAACTCATTCCATCCTCTGTCTTGACTCATTCCATCCACAGTCTTAACTCATTACATCCCTGTCTTAAACTCATTCTATCTACTTCCTAAACTCATTCCATCGCCTGTCTGAAACTCACAGCATCCTCCGTCTTAAACTCATTCCATTCCTAGTCTTAACTCATTCCATCAACTGTCTAAACTCATTCTATCCCCAGTCTTTACTCATTCCATCCCCTGTCTTAAACTAATTCCCTCTACGTCTTAAACTCAGTCCATCCCCTGTCTTAAACGTATTCGTTCCCCTGTCTTAAACTCATACCATTCCCTGTCTAAACTCATTCCATCCCCCGCAGTAGTTAATTTAACTAAGTCACATCAAGGCTGGATTTGAGACTTGACGAGGCCCTAAACTATATACACCCCTGAGGCCTCTACCCCTTTAAATTTCACTAGCCTATCTCATGCAGCTTTAAAATATATACACCTTTTCGGGTCTCTTTTGCTACTGGAGGTGCGCAACGGTACACAGTACCGTCACCTTTTTAGGCATCATTTGTTTCAGCGCTACTGTAATATACACTACATGGTCAATACCGGCACCTGATTTAGACGGTTTGTGGCGAGTACCCGCACCTTTTTTCTTTGTTAAGACAGAAGACCTAGTAAATGTATAAATAATAAAAATACATTGTCATTAAAATGTTGTGAAAATAAATAATAAAGAATGCGTTGGCAAAATCACAGAAAAATCACACACACAAAATTACAGTGACTGAGATGACCCAAGTTAATAAAAGTTGGTAGTGAAAGTTGGCGTAGATCAAGCTGATTTTTTTTTTCAATTAAAAAATGTTAGAAAAAAAAAAGAAGAAGAAAAAGTCTAAGACAATACACCCCACCCCCTCCCCCCCCCCATCTTTTCACCATCCGTCAAGGTGTGGAAAATACATTAAAAGAAAACTGATTTGTCGGAGTGGGGGTGATGGGGGGGGGGGGGGATTTGGTGATATGTTTGAGGTTTGAACAACGGACCAACATCATTGCACACGGGTAGTAACTAGGGCTGTACCCAATATTCGCTTCGTATCCGCTTCGGAGCCGAATAGTGGACCGTAGAGCTATTCGGTATTCGGCCGAGTAGTTGCGGTCAGGCCGAATACGAATAGTGATTACCTTACACCCGTTTCTGGACTGGTGGAAAATAAACGTATCAAGATTTCCCACCTTGGTTCATACTGTCAAGCGTTATGTTTGTGCACCACCTACGAGTGTACCAAGTGAACGTCTGTCTAGTGCAGCTGGAAATACCTTCAGTGAGACAAGAAGCTGCCTTAATGCTGACAACATGGAACGATTTTTTTTTTTTTTTGGAAAGCTAATGCCGCTTTCATGGATTAACTAAGCTGTCAGTGACAATTTACAAGTTTAGTTACTTGTTATAAAACTAAGAATACTTTCATTCCTAGGTATAAGTTACCACAAACTGACTGACTGAAGGATGCAAAACATGAAATGTTTTTAAATGTTTACTATTCTGTACTATATTTTGTGAAGTAAAATTTCAGCGTACATTTGACACTATGGATGGTTAAAAAAAAAATCTATTTTATACACGAAAGTGGAGGAATGGGCCTCAGTTTAAATAGTGGGAAGACAGAAGTAATGTTGGTATCAAAGAAAATAATTATACCTAAATGTGTAATAAAAGTCAATGGTGTTATTTTGGGACAAGTACAGAAATTTAAGTATCTGGGCACATGGGTAACATCAGATTGAAGATGCATTACTGAAATAAGAAACAGAATAGGACAGGCAAAAACTGCATTTCATAAAATGAAGAACATCTCATGCAATATATCTGTGTCATTGAAGGTTAGAAAAATAATTCTTGCTTGCTACATACATACAGTTTTAAAATATGGCTGTAAGTCCTGGACAATCGGTAGGCCAACCAAAAAATTTCTTGAGGCCTCAGAGATTTGGTTTTACAGAACAATGCTTAAAATACCTTGGACACCTACACAAAAAGCAACCAAGAGGTTTTGATAGAGGCGGGAGCCCGAAGTCAACTACTCACAGACATCAGAAGGAGACAGTCATCATTTTTCGGCCATGTTATAAGATGAGGGAAAATGAAACATGTGGTGACCATGGAAAGATCTGTGGAAGGAGAGATAGAGGAAGACAACGAGAGAAGATTCTTGACAGTCTTGTTACAAGTTATGGAGGTGTGCCAGCACATAGAACTAATATATGCTGCAGGAGATCGCAGATTGTGGCAAGGCATAATCGCCGAGACCAGTCGGCAAAGCACCTGATGATGATGATTCACTATTCGTATTCGTATTCGGCCGAATAGTTGGTCCAGCTATTCGTATTCGGCCGAAAAGTGAAAATCACTATTCAGTACAGCCCTCGTAGTAACCATAAGTGCTCCGTTCTTCTTCTTACCCAAGTCTGAGTCCAAGGAAGCTTGGCACAGTGCAAGTATCCTGAGGTATATTGGGTAGATTTTAAACTTCAAACTTTGCCCGGGCAGCAATTTCCAACTGCCGAGGGATTTTTTTCGTGCGCAACAATGCCCATTGGCGTCTGATCTCACCAACCAGAGACCAGGGGGAATTATTAGAAGTCCAAGTCCACGTGAAAAAAAAATCCCAGCCCTTACCGGGGATTCAACCCGGATCCTCGGCAGATGGAAATCGAAAAGAGTAGCCTAACGGCGCTGCCCAGGCAAAATTTGGAGTTAAAAATCTACCCAAAGTATTTTAGGATCTTCGCCGGAGCTACAGAGCATGTGCACTGTTCTGAGCTTCTTCGGACTCAGACTTACGGGTTGCACCCTTGTGCCATGATGGTAATCCGGTGTTCACAACCTCAAAATTCTAACCCCCAATGGAGCATAGGCCCTCAACCAACTGACGCCAAGTCGTTCTATCCTTCGCGATTGCGTGCAGCTTTCTCCATGTCCCTAGGTGAGAGAAGGTACGTCATTTGTATATTCGAAAAGCCTTTCCTCATCTTGGCTGGCTGGGTTGTTATTGTTTCTCTGTTTGACTTTTCCATGGTTGGTTGGTTTTTGTGACTATTGTTTGTTTTTTGTTTTTAAACAGGATGAGGTAGCCAACCTCAAGCCCAACCCAACCCTTGGTCGCTTTTTACGACATGCATAGTAGGGTGTATTATTACGATTCTTTGCTTCCCGCGAAGGCCCTGGTGACACACGGGCGAATATCTGCATTAAGTTAAAACGAAATAAAGATCCCTTTTCCCGCACATCGGGCATGTGGGAAGAGCACCTCTATTTTTACAGACCAATCGGCACTAGGTGGGTAATGTGGTCAGCATAACGCCGGCCGCCTTTACTTCCCCAGGACATACATCGTGGTACCCATTTTAGGCTGGGTCAACCTGCGACGCCCCATACCACGATAACAATCCACTCACCCAGCAGTGGGTTTCGATCGCAATACACTGGAATTACGAGTCGGACTCGCAACGCCTAAGCCACGGACGCCGCAATATCAACATGACTGCCTCCTAAATAGTCATATGACACCAGTCGCTGCTTTGGGGTGTAGCCAACCTCGAGTGTTGAAACTGCCACCGAACCAAATCTTTGTGCGACATCTTTAAGTGGCTGAGTAGTATTTTTAACTTCGACTACGTGATGTTTGTGTGCATTGGATGTTTACTGTTAGCACCGTTTCTTTCTTTCTTTCTTTCTTTCTTTCTTTCTTTCTTTCTTTCTTTCTTTCTTTCTTTCTTTCTTTCTTTCTTTCTTTCTTTCTTTCTTTCTTTCTTTCTTTCTTTCTTTCTTTCTTTCTTTCTTTCTTTCTTTCTTTCTTTCTTTCTTTCTTTCTTTCTTTCTTTCTTTCTTTCTTTCTTTCTTTCTTTTTCTTTCTTTCTTTCTTTCTTTCTTTCTTTCTTTCTTTCTTTCTTTCTTTTCTTTCTTTCTTTCTTTCTTTCTTTCTTTCTTTCTTTCTTTCTTTCTTCTTTCTTTCTTTCTTTCTTTCTTTCTTTCTTTCTTTCTTTCTTTCTTCCTTTTCTTTCTTTTTTCCTTCGCTTTTCTTCTTTTTTCTTATTTCTTGCCGTCCTTCTTTCTTTCTGTGTTAGCGGGAAACATAGACATTAAATGTTACAATTGTTTAAAAAAAAATATGAATACTCAAATGATCTTTCTTCTTTGAGTTGTAAAATAAAGTAATGAAAAAAATAAATTACACGCTTTTCCTTTTTGTCTTAACAGTAGTTGGAACTGGCCAGGTAATGGGAACATATGTTTGAATGAAGAATGATATATAATAATACTGTATAGTGAGCAAATAAACATTTTGTTGAAGCTCCAAAGATGTTGTTTTATCAGACGAAAATTAGAACGTGATGCATAGACATTGTAAAAAAAAAAAAAACAACCACACACTACAATGAATTACCTCATACACAGAAAATGTAAAGAAAAAAAAAATATATGCGTGCATGTTAAAGAGCTCCATTCAACACAACAATATTTATAGGACAATTACGAGTGACATGGGGGCCACCGCGATGTAGCGGATAGACCATCGTCTGCAGATCCAAAGGTCGGGGGGTTCAAATCTGCATGGGGCCGGTTTTTTTTTTTTTTTTTTCAAACATATCCTTAGTTGCCATGTCAACCTAGCATTAAATAGGTACCAAGTAAAGTCATAGGATGTTTATCATATCACTCATCGAGGTGAGGGGTCTATACCAGTGGCTCTTAAACTTCCTAAAGCCGCGACCCTTTAATAAAGTTCCTCATGTTGTGGTGAAATGTGTGTCTTCCGATGGTCTAAGGAGACCCCGTGAAAGGGTCTTTCGACCCCCCCCCCCTTTCCCTCAAAAAAAAAAGGTCGCAACCAGCAGGATGAGAACCGCTGGTCTATAAAAATATAAGTCTGGTTTCATATGCCTGATGGGCCACTGATCATCTAAAGGGACCTTTTGACTGACAAAGCTGATCATGTAAAACAAACCAAACAACAACTCAGTCTAAAACACTCAAGCCTTATTTCAGATATATATTTGAGCTCATAGATACGGCATTGTATTTACAATTGCCGAAACACCTTCATAATCCGTTCTTGAGTTCTTTAGCAGTGTTTGTTGTAGTTACCCTAGCTCAGTTAGAGGTGTTCTCTGATGCTCCTACAGTAGCTTCATCTTCACTGAAACTACTTTCCAAGTATGTAATAAGATACTTTTCTTGTTTTTTACGTATTATGAAATTCTTTTTCTTCTTCTTGGCGTTCACCAGCTGTACACTCTGGCGGAAAGTTCTGGTTGCTCGTCCATTACTGAACTGCAGTCCTGCTCCAGAACCTGAGTGTTGCGTGTGCATCAGTTTTACAGATCTTATTCTCTTGAATACAGACTGTCGGTTCCTTTCCTCTCCGGCTCATGCACTCCGACTTCAAAGGAAGCTCCCCAATTAGTCGACTCTTACGACGTGCTTTCGGGGAGGCAGTGGGTCTATTCTTGTTTTCCCCACAATGGGGTCCCGGAACCCACGTGGGGGATTATGAAATTATTATCAATCCAGTAACCTAATGAGTTCCAGTAGACCAAGAAATGAAGAGAAAACGCTGGCGTTGGATAGGACACACGTTGAGAAAACCTGAGTTCAATATAACTAGAATGTCTAGGCATTGGAACCCACAGGGGCATATAAATAAATGAAGACCCCCCAAAAATGGAGAAGAGAGCTAGGGAGTGAAGTTAAAAAGATGGGTAGGGCATGTGGAAACCTGCATGAAATATCGAAGGATAGAACGACTTGGCGTGAGCTGGTTGGGCCAATACTCCCTTGGGGATTAGAAAGGCAGAGGAAAGAATAAGAAGAAGAACCCAATGAGTATCAGCTAGTGTGTATTGGTTATGTGTTATGATTTAATTATTGATACTAACCTAAGTGCAGGCTAGACATCGACATAGGAAGATAACTGAAATTGTGTATTTATGTAGTATTGTCTAATTTTTGTATGTGCTGATGAAAGCTCCATAGCCGCAACGTTCACGTTTTGTTCGTGTTTGTTAAATTGTGAAGCTCGCTGATACACTTTTCGTTCCGGTTTATATCTTTCCTTGACAGGTTTATAGATGTCGTTTGACTCGCCGTAAAATACATTTAAAAAATTTATAATGTCTTTAATAATCTGGAAAGAATTACTGTTATTGTCTGAAATGTTTCATATTTTCTTAAAGGCAAAAAACAAACACACACATTTTTAATTCAATGAATCTGTTGGTTGGTTGGTTAGTTGCATATCCTTTACAGGACGTTGCAGAACCAACCTCAAGAGTCCATAGCTTTTGTGTGGTTTCTCTAGGCAAATTTACGTCCAGTAGTTTGCCATTGCCTGTGGACGGTCGGCTTTCTTGATACCACTGTCGAAACCAACACATGGCCCACAGCTGGTCGAACCGGCATTCCGGCATTACGAAGCGTTCGCATCGACTTATCCACAGAGCCAACAATGAATCTATTAGTATTCTTAATTTACTGACGCACAGCTTTTTCATACACCGGTCCTCATCAAACCTTTCACCATCCCCTACCCGTGTACGTCTATTTCACACATCTAAATCACCCCGCAGGTTATGTTGCTAAAGCACGTCTTTGTCTTGGGTCAGCGAATTTCGTTGCCCGTCTAGTTAATTCAAGGATGTCCACAGAATATTGAAAATTCAATCTAGTGCACTGTTACACACACACACGCACGCACGCACGCACGCACGCACGCATGCAAGCACACAGCGTATCTTTCTAATGACTAACGGTGTGTGTGAACTGTGTGCAATGTTATGCAAGATTGTACAACAAGCAGCTGAACGTATTAAATGTTACACGTGGTTTGTGCGTGTGTGTATGTGTGTGTGTGTATGCCCGCCAACGCGTGTGTGTGGGATTTAATAGACTGCAAGACTAAAATAAGAACCCGTAAGAGTTGATACCGATCCATATTATGCCGTACCGCAGACGGCCTCATACGCCTTGATCCCTCGTGGACACCCTCGCCATTAAAAAAAAAAAAGATGGTCAGCCCCTTTGACACTCCCCCTCCCCCGTCCGCAACAACTGCTAGGGTCTCCCGTCGCCCCGCCCAGCCAACAAAAAATGGCAGAGTCTCTAACCATCTACAGACGTTCCAGCTTTAAGCATCTGTTACCACATTTCATATTCTTTTTCTTCTTCAGCATTCCGATCCCTTAAGGTTCATTGCTACAGATATCACCCGCCTCCATTCATCTCCCTGGTTAGCCTTCTCTTTCCAGTTGGTGACACCAAGTGTTTGCAGGTCTGCCTGGACATTATCTCTCCATTGTCTTCTTGGTCTGCCTCATGGTCTACGACCAGTTATCTCCCCGCTGTATACAGTTTTTACTTCTCTGTCATCTGACATTTTCCCATTATGTCCAAACCATTTAAATCTATTAGCTCCCATGATGCAAGTGATCAGTGGAGATTTAAACAGATTATGAATTTCGTTGTTGACATTTCATATTGATTAAAATATATTTTTATAATAATTATTTATTTACCATTCAACGCATAATAATAAATAATAATAATAATAATAAAGTAAGGGACCCTTTTCCACCCCTTTCAGGCGTATTGGGTATACAGGGCTAGACCTTTATTTTGTAGACCCACGCCGGCCGCTTTTACTTTCCAAGCCTGCACCTGGTACCCACCCAAGGCTGGGTCGTACTGGGAGCCAAGGTTATTTCTAAAAAAAAAAAAACAGCGTCCAGTCCCGTCAGGAACTGAACCCACGACCTTCCGATCCGCAGGGGAGCGTGTAGCCGGTAGACCACGGCTGACCCCAATAATAATAATAATAATAATACAGTTTGTTATTTTCATTGTGCACCAACATGAGGCTTAACACCCCCTAAGCGCCCATCCCCCCCCCCCAACACCACCAACCCCTAAAAAATATAACGGTACTGTATCGATCCTACCCCCTCCCCCTCAGTACCTCCCCTCCCCCCCCTCCCCACACAGTTTCTCCCTGTCTTGGTACTTGGTACTTGGTGTGGGTAAAAAAAAAAAAAAAATTCGCGCTTCTTTTAACCGGCTCCTAGTTTGAGCAGTGGTTATATCAAAGACCGTGCTTAGTTGTTTGGAATTCGTTTCCAATTATCCTTCCTTTATTTGCGGCGTTTCAATACTCCTGAGGTTTTTTTGTACAGATGATTTCTGTGAGTAGGGAGGTGATCTCGGTCCGCCCTAATAAGGGCAGACCATAGCCTGGGACGGCCTGGATCGGGTAGGGTGGGGGTCATTTTGGCGGTGGACATCATGTCTGGCTGGTCACGGGCTGGAAGGTTTTTCCCGGGCTTGGGTGAATTTTCATTGGTTCGCTTGTTTCTTGGTGTTTGTGGGTTGTCGCGCATTTTGAACATTACTCCGAAGTTGTCCTTTATTCCTTCCCTGATATCACCCAGCTCCAACTTAACAGTTTATAGAGGTATGGTTTGGAGTTTTGAACAACAGATCAACATCATGGCACACGAGTCTGAGTCCGAATAAGCTCAGCACAGCGCTCTGTAGCACCGGCGAGGATCCTGAAATACTTTGGAATGATTTTAAACTCCAAATTTTGCCTGGACAGCGCCGTTAGGCTACTCTTTTCGATTTCCAACTGCAAATGAATTTTTTACGTGCGCAACAATGCACACGGGCGTTCGATCTCGCTACCCAGAGACCAGGGGGATTTATTAGAAGTCTAAGTCCATGTGAAAAAATCCCAGCCCTTACAGGGGATTAAACCCGGAACCTCTAGCACTCGAGGCGGACACCATGCCTCGAGACCACGCAGCTCCCTCCGTTGTGGTATGGATAAATAACAAAACTAACAACAACAACAGCAACAACAACAACACATCGTATCTGCCTGTTACAACAAGCACTAACCCACTGCTGTATTTCCACAGGTGAGATCTACGACATGTTCCACATCTGGGACTTTGACCAGCCGATGGTTTGTAAGACCAGGCTCTTCTTCAACGCCTTCACCACCATGGTGGCGGCCATGGTGCTAGTTGCCGTAGCAGTCGTCAGGTAGGTTGGTCACCATGTCTGAATCAAATGCAGCGATGCAGAAGGTTAGGACATTATAGCCGATATAAACCTTACAGTTTTCTAAAGACACCTGGAATACTCCTGTAGACTTGGTCTCCCGATTTAACTCAGCTTATAATTAATTGAAGTCGATAGGATCGACTTCAATGCCCCGTGTTCTATCCCATATGTCTTGACCTTTCTTTGCAAAATGGCTAGCTGCTTGCCAAAAGCACAAAGTAGGAACACTGTAGCTCCAGCGACGATCCCCTTGGACCACCTTAAAAGCTGTACTCGTGAACGGATCGACTCAGCCGTGAAACGAACCCACTACCTTCAAAGCTGGAGACAAACAACTGGACGACTTCGCCATTGAGACCCAGTCTAAAAAAAATATTTAAATATACACTCGAACAGAGCCAGTGAGAGGCTGAAAACATCCTTCATCGAGTACCAATTATTGTATATAAAAAAATACGTTGAACTACCACAAACATCAGCGGCGTCGTTGGCTAAGGCGTTGCGAGTCTGACACGTAATTCCAACATACCGCCATCGAAACCCACTGTTGGCTGCGTGGATTTTTATCATGGTATGGGGCGTCGCAGGTCGACCCAGCCTAAAAAAGGTACCAGGATGGAAGTCCTGGGGAAGTAAAGAAGGCTGGCTTAATGCTGAGCACATGACCCAGCTAATGCCGATTGGTCTGTAGAAATATGGGGTGCTCTTCCCATTTGCCCGATGCGCCCAAAGCTGGAAAAGGGATCTTTTCTTTCACTTTCCCACAAACGTCATCATCATCATCATCTGCCTTACCCAATGCGTAGGCGATCATGGCCTCTCCACACCCTGCGATATTCCGCAGCATGTATTAGTTGATTTCATGACAAGCCCCACCCCTCCCCCCCCCCCCCCAATTTAGCATTGATAAAAGACTTTCAAGAATTTGTTCGCGTTGTTCCTCTCTCTCTCTCTCTCTCTCTCTCTCTCTCTCTCTCTCTCTCTCTCTCTCTCTCTCTCTCTCTATCTCGGTCAACAGATCTTTCCGGTGGTCACATACCCCAGTTCTTCTCATAAGATGGGCAAAAATTGATGACTAACTATTTCTGATATTTGTAATAAATTGTCTTCGGGCCCTCCCCTCTTTCAAAAATCTGGCACCCATTTTTTTTTCTGTCCATCGAATTCCGATGATAATTTTGTAAAACCCCACATCTGAGGCCTCAAGACATTGGATTTTTTAAAATTATTTGTCCCGGATTCACAGTAATATGTTGAAACTAGCTTATATAGAATGCGGGAATTCTTTTTCTAGCCTTGAAACATCATCAGTCATCATTTCTCTTTATGCCTAGTAGCACATGAAGCTTCAGAGAGGACTTTCCATGCTTTCCTGTCTTGTGCAATCCTCAGTGCAGCTTTCCATGTCAGAGATGCCGCATTCAGGTCACTCTCCATCGTTCGTCTCCACGTTGTTGAATGACATGGATTTATTGCAGAAGATTTCATAAAATGCAGGTTTTACCCGTCCTACTCTGCCCACCCCTCCCCCTTCCCCTCTTAGCGATATATCTCCATCTGATATTATCTGTGTTTAGATATGTAGCTTTCTGTACTTGTCCTAAAATAACGAAACTGACTGTTATGATACCTTTAGACACATTCAGTTAATTTGATCTTACAGTTCTACTGTCTTCCCATTAATCAAACTGAGGTCTATTTCACTTTCTACCACAACCGGTTTATAAATTTGTGCATAGTATATATTTTTTTTTAAATTTTTATTTATGTCGCCATCAAGATTGTGTCATTGAAATAGCGTAGGCTGCACATATTATGACCACCAACCAAAATTCCTGGCACATCATATTTATGGCCAGGCTGTATTGCGGCCCCTGGCAAGAGCCAGAGTAGAGCTTCAAATAACGAAAAATTTCATCCTAAAAAGGACGGTAAGTTTGTACCACGGCCATCTTTAGATTTCCGCAAGAGTTTACAGCCAGTGTTCGCGAAGCAAAGCAAAAGCCAGCTAACAAAAAATTAACAGGCCGTACAACTACAAATATGCAAAAGAAGTCAATGAGCAACCAGAAGTTTCCGCAAGAGATTACAGTCGGTGTTTGCGAAGCAAAGCAAAAGCCAGTTTACAAAAATTAACAGACTGTACAACTGCAAATATGCAAAAGAAGTCAATGAGCAACCAGAAGTTTCCGCAAGAGTTTACAGCCAGTGTTCGCGAAGCATAAGTCAAATGGTTAAGGATTAATATTATTAGTGTACTGCTACAACATATAATTATACTGTTAGTCAACAATTAGTAAAGAGGCAAAGAGTGACTTGCTGTGAGAGGTTAGTTAGTGAATTAAATATTTTTTTCATCCACTTACCTAGAGCTCCGAAATATCTTGACACAATTTATCCACAGTCTGGATACTTTGCACCTGAAAACTGTCGATATTCTCCAGATATGGCTTCTAAATTACCTGTTTGTTTTATCACTAAAAGTACATTTCTACAATTAAAGTAGAAAAGTAATAAACAGCCAGTTCCCAAAAATCCGAACTACTGACTAGAAACAGTGACACATACATCACAACACGACTGTCTTCCGTGAATTGAAATCAAAATTAAAATTGCTGTATATCCACGTTGCAATATCCGCTTGTAGATTTGTAATACAAATACTTTTAGAACACAGGACTTTGTAAACATATTAAGATGTCACACAATGCAACATGGAAACGATGCCAGTAACCTATTTTCGACGGAGACTCCCCGAAAATGTACCGTGGTTCAGTTAGCAGGACTGAAAGATACAGATGGGCGTGGTTTGTACCTAATTGAAAACTTCCTGTCCTTTTTAGGATGGAATTTTTCGTTATTTGAAGCCCTACTCTGGCTCTCGCCAGGGGCCGCAATATAGCCTGGCCAAAAATATGGCTATTGAAGGAAACCCTGTTCCTGGGACCTCTCCACGGTGATCCTCACCCACATGGTGGCACATTGTGTCATCGGGTGTTTATCGCTTGTGTGATGTTCTGGTGGGGTAGAAAGTCAGCCAATCAGCCTGACACATCCGTTACACATCTCATTATATATTCACTTCATAATGAAAATAAATCGAGTGATCGCACACATCCTTGTCATGCGCACTTGTTTATGTTCTGAAATGTTCCAAAACTGTTGTTAATTCTTATTCGTGCTGTTTTATGCCAATACATGTCCTTCTTTTTTTTTTTTTTTTTTTAGATCTCTTCCATTAATGTTGAATGCTTCTAGTAGTTGCTTATTTCCTTATGTTTCATACAGTTAAACGCTTTCGTGTTGTCCGCTGAGCATAAGTACACATGAGTTGTTACTTCTATGGTTCCTTCCAATAGAGTCCTACAAATCCATATCCGCAAAAACTGTACGCGTATCCAAATATCCATGTTTCATGGTTATGTGTTTAAGTCAATAATAGATACGAGCCAGGTTAATTATAATAGCTTTCTATGGTGTAAACATATGTTCAGCATACACATTGTGTAGTATATTTAATATATGGCTGTGAATCCTGCACAACTGATAAACAAGCCAAACTATTTCTTGAGGCCTCAAAGATGTGGTTTTACAGAAGAATCCTTAGAGTTTTTTGGACAGCTTAAACGAGCAGCCCAGAGATGGTGAAAGAGGGAAGGGCTCCAAGACAACTTATCACAAACATAAAAAAAAAAAGACAAACATTTTTTGGTGAGGTTATTAATTTAAAAAAAATGTAAACAGGAACACACAATGACTATTGTAAATAGTTGGGAGGGGGGGGGGGGGGGGGAGAACGCGAGAGGATTCTTGACAGGAAGTGTCAACACATGAATTGATAAAACTGATAAAGATCGCTGATTGTGGAGCGGTATAATCGTCCACGCCAGTAGGCAAGGTACTTGGTAATTATAAGTATATCCTTTCATTTATTTATTCCATTGCTTCTATGAGCGCCAATCAGTACGTGTATTTTATTTATTATTTCAGATATCGGAAGATCTGTAAGCCTTTCAAGAAACAGGTCACTATCAAGATGGCCAGAATCATCAGCGTTATTCTAGCCATGTTGTCGCTGTTATTCTCCATTCCCTACGCCCTCATCAACGGCCGTCAAACCAAACCCACACCACAAAACGGAACAATGGGTTACGAATGCACCATTGACGATAGTTATGTCGGCACAATATGGCCGCTGATGAATGGCGCCTTTTTCATCTTTCTGTTTATCGTCTGCAGTATTCCACTTGTCGTCATGTACATCATGATCGGAGTTACGGCGTGGAAACACAGCAAAATTTATGGGGTAACTACACAATCGAAAAGTAAACCCGAAGCACGTAACAGCGATTCAGGTCACACTAACGAAATGGGTACAAAATCAACGGAGGATTCGCCTTTGAAATTCCCCAAGTCGCCAAAGACAAGGTCTTTTGTTAAAATGAAAGGCGGGTCTACGAGTGAACCGGTTTCAGAAAGCTGTGGCAAAGAAAACGATGGCGGAACATCCAGCGTTGAGAAGGAGCGACAACAATATATCATAACCCATAGTTCTAAAACTCAGAACAGTCATGATGATGATAATAATACTACAGATGTAGACGATACGAATAAAGAAGAGAATATTGTAGCCAACAATAACAACTTCTCGGTGCGAATGATTCGTAGCCCTACAGGAGAAAAAGTGAATGTTAATTTGTGTATGGTTAGAGAATTGACCGTTAAACTGAAAGCAGTAAAGAAAGAAGTTGAAAGTCGCACCAAATACAATGATGACAGCGGAAACGACTCAGAAAATGCTGACGTAGAACTTGAGATTTCTTCTCAAAAGTTGAATAAACTTAAAGAAGGAGAGAATGTTCATGAAGAAAGCGAGTCGCTTAATAAATCTGACATTAATAAGTCCAGAAATGGCAGCAAACACCTCAAGAAACACAGAAATAAAAGTGCAGATAACAACTTGTACATTGATCTACGACAAACGTTGTCTTCTTGTCCTTCAAGACGAATCAGCAAATCTGTAGACGATTTAACGCGTCTTGTTGAGAAACGACCCAACATCGTGAAAGAACTGGCCAAACTTAAAGCTGCAGAACACGAAGATTTAGATTTACGAGCTGAAGCAAATAGTCTCGTTGAAAGTCTCGAACCAGCAAATCACAACGAAGCGGAATCGCCAAAAGACGAACCCGTTAGCGAGTTTGCTAAAGTTATGCAGTGGGTAGACTTAACATATTGTCTACAAGAAGACAACAAAGACAGCGAGAACACAAAGAATGAATCGAACTGTGAAGAGTTTGAATCAACAAGTTTATCCAAGAAAGGATCATTTGCAATGGCGCGAAAGATATCCAGAGACAATAGTTTTCTACAAAGACATAGAAAATTGAAAGATGCACTAACTGACACGCTTACTCGTGCAAGAAAAAGCAGAAGAGAGCGAGAAGCTTCAGAAGCTGAAGGTCGAGAAAATTATGGAAACTTTGCCCTGGAAAACATCAACTCTGAGAGCGAAAACACCTGTAACAACGAAGACAGTGATCTCGCAACGAAAGACACAACAATACAAAGCAACAACGAAAGACAAGATGATAAAGCGTACAAACGAAAAGCCAGCAATGCCATAGAAAACATTCCAAACGGCGAGTTTGGAAACAAAGTAAAGCTTAACGCCCATCGAGGCAGACGCCAGGGAATCGGAAGAACAACCGCCATGCTTATTCTCATCAGCGCCGTTTATATCCTAGGCTTTCTACCTTATTTGGGTCTCTCTTTTGCCAAGTATGCATCGCCAGCCACTTTTGAATCCATGGACATGGCACCATTCGCTGTGTATAATTTGTTCCTGCGGTCATACTTCCTGAATAGCGCTGCCAACCCAATCATCTACAGTTTATGTGACATGAACTTTAGGCGGGAATGTTTTGGGCTGCTGAAATGTTCATAGTTCACACTTTGTTGATACGGACAGCGAGCACGATTGAAATCAAAACAAGGACAGTTTGGGACTGCTCAAATGTTCATAACTCATACTTTATTAATGCAGACATATAATTTTATATCACATTTAGAAAGGACAAGCTGCTTAAATGTTCATAATTCTTACTTCCTGGTGCAGACAGCGAGTCTGCATGAAATCCACATTATATGGAAATTGAAATGTTCATAAATAGCCACGTTCTTAGTGCAGTCAAACAAATCCACAGTATTGGTCAGTGTTTCCTAAACTTTTCTTAGTCGTAGCGCTCTCTCTCTTTTTTTTTTTTTTTACAATTAAAATTTATCAACGGTGCCCTAACCTAAGTCAAAGTATGACTATTTGTATGTGAGAGATAGAGATTTAAAAAAAAATTAACCTCGTGTATCTTCAAATATTTCGCGGCACCACTGTGAAGAGGTCGCGGCTCCCCTGGGCGCCACAGCGCACAGTTTGAGAATCACTGGTATATGTGATGCCAATCAACTTTAGGCAGAAATGTTTCTGACTGATCAAATGTTTATAATAATTCACTTTCATGATATTAAATGTTGTTTGCGGTTTTTCTTACTTGGATCTCCGAATGACATGTTTTTTCGCATGATAAATAAGTTAACAAACAATGATTGACACTGACATAAGGGAAGGAAAGAATCGGGTATAAGAGGACAAAGAACAACAAAAATGGCTGCTTGGTACTGATTTGAATGTTGAATGTTGAGTTAAGAATCGGCATGACAGCACTCGGGACAATCCTAATGTGCTCCGTCCCCATCTTCAAAAGCAAGCGAAGAGTTCCAATCTGATGGTACCAGTAACGGATTGTACATACGACTTGTCTTTCCCTTGAGTGTTGAGCTAAGCATAACACATGTCTTTTTATTTGTTGTTTTGTATGTCATTTTATATGCACCAAATATCAAACATAAACATATACATGTCTCATATCATCGCGTATCTGTTGTCAGTTTGTGCGATATGCGTGTTCGTCTTCCCCTCTCCTGTTATAATTACAGTTGTAGTTGAGATGTAAACTCTAATGAGTCTACTCACACAATAATTGCCACGCTCCTATGTAAGTGATGTTTTTGATGTTTCTGAACAACGAATCAACATCATGGTACACGGTTAGTTCTTCATCTAACTCAAGTCCGAAGAAGCTCAGCACATTGCACATGCTCTGTAGCACCGGCGAGGATCGTGAAATACTTTGGGTAGATTTTTAATTTCACAATTTGCCCGGGCAGCGCCGTTAGGCTACACTTTTCGATTTCTAACTGCCAAGGGATTTTTTACGTGCGCAACAATGCACACGGGCGTCCGATCTCACTACCCAGAGACCAGAGGGAAACTACCGGGGATTGAACCCGGAATCTCTAGCATTCAAGGCGGACATCATGCTTAGAGACCACGCAGCACCCATCTATGTAAGTGAAAACCGCACAGAATGTTTCTCTTACTTTCCCCCAGTAACTAAATGAGGCAAAGAGAAACATTCTGTGCGGAGAGGGTGGTTGGGGGAGCATAGACTTTTCCTACAATTGTCCAGATAGGGGTAGGGGAGGGGAAAGGGGGGGGGGGGGGGTCTAGGGCGTATGAATCTACACTTCCGGATCCCTGACAGTATAAAGTAAAGTTAAGGACCCTTTTCCACGGGTCCCGACGTATTGGGCATATAGTGCTAGCCCTATATTTTATATACCCCTCGGCACAAAGTGGGTGATGTGGGCAGCATCACGCCGGCCGCCTTTATCTCCCAGGACTAAACCTGTACCCACTCAAGGCTGTGTCAACCTTCGAGCCAAGGTCATTCTTTTTAAGAAAGAAAAAAGCCTGGTTCCTGATGACCCGAACCTCCCACTTCCGACCCGCAGGCGAGCGTCTAGCCGCTGCACCACTGCGACTTCTCCACGACAGTATTCGAGATATTGTTGAATGCAGTGGAGGCATAGGCTATCCTCCGAATATCGGTCGGTAAAGATGGCGGCCACAAAATATCTTTTCGAGCCACAGTCACGTGACCTAATTTGCGGTTCTCCGGCGACTTTATTTGCGGTTCTCCGGCGACTACCGACACCGCCACGAGTCCCCTACGCCGCTCACGTGGCGTGGATTGGGACTAAACTAGATGGCTAGGACTCACGAGCAGCAGCTTCCGCATCTCCTGACGCTTTGCTCGTGAGTCCTAGCCATCTAGTTTAGCCCCAATCCACGCCACGTGAGCGGCGCGGGGGACTCGTGGCGGTGGCGGTAGTCGGCGGTAAACCGCCGGAGAACCGCAAATTAGGTCACGTGACTGGCTCGAAAGGATATTTTGCGGCCGCCATCTTTACCGACCGTTATTCGGAGGATAGCCGAGGAGGCATATACTGTGCGCCATAAATGACATACAGATGGCACACGAGGATGATGATGATCAGGGCTTTTTCGGAGTGGGAGGGGGTGGAAAGGGGGGGGGGGGATTCAAAAATACGCAGTACTGGCACTTTTTTATCGCTACTTTAATAGACACTTTATGATGAGTACCAGCACCTTCATTTCTGTTGGGGAAAAATGGCCCTAATGATAATGATGATGATTTTAGGAAACCACACAATAAAAATGCTAATAATGCAATAATCTCATACATACACAGGACAAAATGACACTTGAAAGAATAAGGATAAAGTTTACCAGCGGCTTCTCAGAATCGCACAGTAACGTCACATGGAATTTACGATGCTTAGATCCGGCTTCTTCACCGGATGTAAACCTGGTTGGTCTTCCACTTGTGGTCTTGTTCCAGATCTTGTGTATATACATCCGTTTCACAAATCTAGCATATTTGTGTGCAGACTGTTGGCTCCTTGCGTCTCAGGCAGACGCCTTCTAACTTTAAAAGAAACGTCGATACTATCTACTTTGGTCATGCCGGAGTAGGGAACCTGTTTTCCGGATGACTTCGGAAAGGTTGCGATTGGTCTTGACTAGTAAAGTTTTAACAAGATAGTGTATACGTGTTGTGGCAATTCTGGTATGTATGAACGGTCGGATTCTGACCTACAAGTGGACATGGGGAAAGTAAATTTTGTAATACTTCGTGTTGACATTTAATTGAAAGAAGGGGGAAAAGGGTGGGCAGGGAGGGAAGTGGCTAAATGGTTGTGTGCTATGAAAATCGTAGCTCGGTTTAGGAACCCATGAGGTTGTCCCTAGGGCTATAGAGTTCCGTAATTTGTTGCTCTCATGGAGTACACAGTCGCTGTGTGGAGACCGAACCATATAGGAAAACACCCAGGGTAATGAAGTCGGTTGTCCTAGTTTTCTTTCAGTTAAAAAAGAAGTCCTTAACTTTTTTTTTGAACGAGGGTAATTATTTAAAAATAATTCCCACAGAGAAAACTCTTTGTCGTAACAACAACAGCAACAACAACAACAACAAAAACAACAACAACAACGTCAACAACACCAACGTCAAATTACTATTAAGCTATTAAAAATGTCACGAATTTCAAATAGCTAGGTTCTATAATAAACAACAATGGAGACTGTTCGACAGAAGTCAAAACCACAGCAATACAAAGATTAAATAGCATAAAAAGTGTGTGGTTAAACACCAGCAAGGAAATCAAGGTGAAAATTGCGAGTGCATGCATTTTCCCTGTAGCAATATGTGAGTCGTGGACTACCTTGCAGTCATTCAGAAAGAAAATATAGCCTTTTGAACTAAAATAAAATAGAAAAATTGTAAGTATACGTTGAACCAAGAAGAAAAGGAATACTGACATCTAAAAGATGTGGAGATCAAGACTGTTTGGCAGTAAACAGTATCTATATCAGTCATGAGGGATTGGAAATAACAGTAGCAGAAAGTATTGTGCCATGGAAGAGCAGCAGGGACAGACCAGCACGAAGATGGGCACACGATATAAGGGACATTTTGGATAGGAAAGTTCTCAAAGTTGAGGATCTGATAAGAGACCCCATTTCTTTCATACAGGCTTTGGTGGAAGTGACGTTCTGCGAAGGACCTGCTACATGATGACAAATATCTGTGTAGACCAGGGGCTTTGGCTTGGCTTGCTTTGCGAAAAAAAAAATCTTCTTCACACTCAACCAGCATCCCCGAAGGGGAAGCTTTTGGTTATAATTGTGACTAGGTTATGTGCGCCATATACAACGACATAGCATCGCTCACAACCAAGTAGCTCTGGAAAGAATTTTTACAGTGTTGATGCGATCAACGGAGACAAGATCCAAATACTGTCCCGACCGGTGACGAAGTCGTCTACCGGTGAGGCAATGGGCGACCCGGTGGCGATAATTTAGGCCAGGGGGTCATCAACCTACAGTTTTAGGGTTCACCGAAATTCTCACGTTTTTAGAGTGCCTGCCGTCCACCCATGCCTCCACCACGTCGTCTTTACTCCAGTCTCTCAAGTTTCTTAAGAATATGTCTGTTTGTATCTCTCTCTCTCTCTCTCTCTCTCTCTCTCTCTCTCTCTCTCTGTATCTATCTCTCTCTCTGTGTCTCTCTCCCTTCCTGGGTTATTCCTATTTTATTTTTGGAGTATGCCATGTGCGTTCCCCTAAAATGATATTCTAGTTATTCTATTACTGGGTTGGCACCCGTGATAACTTAGTTGCCGCTCTAAAAGTCTAGGAGTCAAATCCACATCAAATCAATTGGCCTTGGCTTCCAGGTCGATAAACAGCCTAAAGTGAAGGTAAAGGCGGCCGGCATTGATGTTGATCACATCACCCATATAGTGCCAATTGGTTAATAAAACTATAGATCTAACACTCCTATGTCGTAAGCGCCAAAAAGCATGGAGATGATCCTATTATTATCTGGTCTCAGTGTTTGTTCAGTCTTGACGCCAGCGTCTTTTCTCGCCTTTTTAATCACCTGAATGACACAAGAGAGCTGGTGGTGCCTTATGCGTTCAATTGCGTTTACAACTGTTGTTATAACTGCAGCTACCATCAAC